ATCATGAATGTGGCAAGAAAAACTAAAGATAATACTAACTCCGGAAAAGACTTAAAACTCTCTTGTAAAAAGCCATAATTAGTAAAGGATAATGCATTTGAAAAGTATCCTAAAGCTGCATATACTCTATAAAAAAAAAAAGATTGCTTGAATGGGCAAAACAACTCGGATTCCCCGATGGATATGTGTCCAATCTAGCTAGATGTGTTGATATGCAGCATGACAAACTTTATGGGATGAAAAGTCATGACTGTCACGTCTTCATGTAGCGTTTACTTCCAATTGCATTTTGGGAGTTTTTACGGAAAAATATTTGACAATCACTTACAGAGTTGAGTTTATTTTTAAAACAATTGACTTCTACGAGTCATAAAGTAAGAGGATATGTTACGACTTAATGATGAGATACCCATCATTTTGTGCAAACTAGAACATATATTTTCGTCCAGCTTTTTTAATTCCATGGAACTTCTTCCAATTTATCTTCCATATGAGGCATCTATTGCTTGGACTCGTGCAATATCGATGGATGTATCCATTTGAAATGTATTGACATTCAATTTAAAAATGAAATTAAATTTATTTCTTACTTTCGAACGTTAAAATTATTCATATTTACAAGTAACTATGGAAACTAAAAAATAATATTAAGAATAAAGCCAAAGTGGAAGGATCAATATGCAATGCATATTTGGTCGAAGAAGCCTCTCTATTTTACTCGCATTATTTTGAGCCTCGTGTGGATACAAGACATCGAAAAATACCCCGTAATTTTGAATTCAACAACGAATAAGAAAACCACATTGAAGGGATGTTATCCGTATTCAAGCAACCAGTGTCGATCAATTGGTTGATACAAAATAAGAAAATTGACACAACAATAACAAAGAGCAACACACCGATATATATTGATGAATTATGAAGAAGTCAAACCTTACATTGAATGAGTTTGACCTATTTATTATATTTAATAATTCATATTAGGAAGATAGTAGAGACTAACATACATTTTTAAATAATTCTCTTGTCTTTAGTGGATTTCTTACCGAAATGCAACAAAACAATCCATTCTCGTTCGAGAATTAAGTCGATGCTCTAATTGAAAATAAGTTTGCCTCTTGGTTTAATCAATATGTAAGTATGATCATTTTATATGTTTAGTTTGTTAATAGCATTAATAGAAAGTTAACTAAATTTAGAGGTGATTTTATGTTTAATTTACGGACACAAAATGTATAAGCAATTGACATAAAAGATCGATTCTTGAAACATCTTGCACGAGGTCCATTGCTAACTCGTCGGATCATATAACGGTTATTTTGGTAATGATTATTTGTTTCACACACTTGAGGGATCTTCGAAAATTGGGTCTTTCAATAGTGGTGTATGCATTAAAGGAAGCAATTATAGCTCAATTAAGAGTGACTATCACGGGATGTTGACGAAAATTATTAAAGTAGATTATCCTGCATTACCAATCAAGAGAACAATATTGTTCAAATGTGATTGGTTCGATCTCACACCACAAGGAACAAGGGTTCATCCATACTACAAACTTGTGGATGTTAATTATAAAAGAACTTTGAACAATTACGAACCGTTTGTCCTAGCATCACGATCGGCTCAAGTGTATTATATGGAGTACCCTAGCTTAAGATGCGATAATCGAGATTAATGGGTCGTGCGTAAGATCAAAGCTAGGTCCGTGTTTGACTTTTTTGAATCATCGACTACCATAGAACAAAATGTTAAGCCATTTCGAGCATGACGATCCAAAAATTCGACATGAATTAATAGACGAAGTCGAGGACATCACTTTGTTGAATGATCCAAATGGATTGTTTATAGAAATAGAAGTACGTGTGGATGACGAAGAAAATGAATGTCATAATGTTTCGGATGATGAAGATGATAACTTAAACAATTATTACAATAGTTGGAATTAAATTTATATTTCATTTGTTGTATTAATAAGAAGTTATGTAATTTTTTCTCTTTATTAGTTTATTAATTTTGGCTTTTCTACCTTCGGTAAATGTTTGTTGTATATTTTAATTGTTTTATATCCATAACAAATGATGTATTTTAATTTATTTACCCATGAACGGACTCTAACTATATATTTGTTGTATTTTGTTTTTCTATTTCATGGTAGATCATACAACGAATGACTAGTGGTAATCATAGTTTGAATCGTCCACCAAGAGGCGCTTCTAGATCATGTTTCGATAATCGTAGACGAGCATCACTGTCATATGGTAGTCCATTAGGATCCTTTACTAGTATCGATCATGGGCCTCCAACGACGGGATTTTTCGTGCATCCCACGACTTTCATAGTCATGGAGCTAGCACATCTACGTCAACGAGTGTTCCTCTTTTTGCACTAGACGTTCCACCATCGACCTCCGAGAGTGGCCCCCGCACATGTGTCCGACAATCCGGAGAGTTCTCACAACTCATCCTATCGATAGCGTATTGTTTTTGTCGATTACGGATCTGTATGTATTTGTTTTTTTAATATGTAATTTCATTAGTAATTATGTTTAAAATATTTGTTTCATCGTTTTGTTATTTGCTTGATAGATTAACTCTAGATAGTAAAGATTATTCTATGAAGATCTTTGAGATTTTTAAGGAATAGGTGGACAAGAAAGGATCATCATGGAAGGATGTCCTCGATGTTATTAAAGACTTCGCTTTAGTCAATTTAAGGTAACGTATTTATAATTTTCTTTATAATTACACAAAGTATTTATAATTTTCTTTATAATTACACACAAAATTATATCATCAAATAAGTTATATAATTTTTTTTGCTTGTGCGTAAACATTTTGAATGGGATGTCGATATCGATCCATTTGTTAGAGGGGCGAGGGAGCGTCTCGCTAGGAAACTCTATGTTAACTTCATATACAAGGTCGGTTTGATGCTTAAGTGAGCTCAATTTATGAGTTAGGAGGCATGAGATCCGTGGTAAGTTGATTTTAAGAAACCCGATCACGTGGCTCGTTCGGAGCAAGCATTGCATAGCCGATTCTCGGAGATCGATGGTCTTGGTTCGGGTCCTTTCGGACATATGGGGGCTCAATATCTTCACGAGAGCATGCATGTTGCTTGGTAAATTACACTATTATTATTTACTTATTTCATAACATTTCAATTTGGAACTTGTCATATTATTTGTAATGTTTTTTTTCTAAGCAATAGAATTGGAGCTCCCACCTACGAGTTTTGAGTTGTTCCGGAGGACTCATAAGAAACGTGATGATTCATTCATCAATATGTCCTCCCAAGCATACACAAGTTTGTATTTTTTTATTTTAAATATTAAATATAAAAATTTATTCTCAAATTTATTTTAATACCGTAACGATGATATTATTATTTTGTTAATGCGAAGCCGTGTGGAGCGACTAATCAATGAGGAAGTTGAGGCTCGGAGGGAGGCGGGAATCTTAGAGCCAAAAGTAGACCGGAATGCCATATACCTACAAGTTGTTGGGTAAAAAAGAAAAGATTTTATGGGATCGACACACAATTAATGCATTATGTGTCTCGGTCGAGTGGCGACGGCTCCTCCTCTACGACGTCACAATACATGATCGATCCGACTAGCGAACGGCTTCGGATGGACCATGAGGCCATTAAAGAAGAGGTGATTGAGTTTAAGGAGACTATTTATAACATGAAGTCTCGATAAAATTACATGGCATCCTTACTAATGCAGCTAGCATAGACATCCGGGTCGTTTATAGATACGTTGATCATTTAGTAATCTACTAGTCCTTCCACTCAACCTCTAGTTCGACCTCCAGTTGATCCTCTAAGTGAGCACTCAACACGAGCATGAGGATGAGGATATGGGATTAGACGAGCATGATGAGTGATGTAATATTTAGTCACTTTATTTGTTATGTTGTTTTTTTATGAAACATATTCTAGAATGATTTTGTTAATGTTATTTTATTTTTCATATATACATGATTACTTATGATTGTTTATTATTAAATGTTATATTAATAATATAATAAAATTTTCAAAAAAGTCAACAAAAGCGAAGCAATTACAAAAAAATTCGTTTTCAAGAATAGCGACGGATTTATTATTCAAATTAGCGATAAAAATTAGCGACGGATTTATTATCGAAATTAGTGATGGATTAGCGATGAAAATTAGTGATGGATTTATTACCGAAATTAGCGACGGATTTATTATCGAAATTAATGATGGATTAGTGACGAAAATTAGCGATGGATTTATTACCGAAATTAGTGACGAAGATTAACGACGGATTAGCGATATATTTATTTTCAAAATTAATAATGGATTAGTGATGAATTTATTTTTAAATTTAGCGTTGGATTAGCGGTGAATTTATGTTCAAAATTAGCGATGGATTAGGTATGAAAAAAAGAACCATCCTAATTCGGAGTTTAACGATGGATTTTTTAGGTTAGTGACGGAGTTTTTGTCACTAAATCTAACGACGAACTTAATATTCCGTTGCTAAAATTTAGCGACTAGTGAATTAGCAACGGAATTTTGTCCGTTGCTATTCCATCACTATTTGCAATTAGCGACGTAATTATTGTGTTTAGCAAAGAAAATTTTCGTCACTAAAACCAATTTTTTTTGCGAGTGTCAATTTTTAAACTAGACATTTTTTTATCACATGAGATATTTTCATCCACGTCATTTTTTTTTGCTGCAACCAATTTGGCTTCTTCTCCAATGTTAAACATAATTTGTGGCTTCTTGATTCCCATAGCCAACTGCAACTAATTTTAATACTTTCTAAACAAGATAAGGCATCTCAATAACGAATTTCCTTCTCCAACTCCATCCTTTGTCTCTCATTATCTCAAAAAATCACACATAGCACAAAAAGAAGTAGAAAAAGGAAAAAAAAAAAAGCAATTCTAAGAGGGCTTTGAGTAAGGAATTTGTCACGACTAGTGATGGTAGGAAGTTTGAGAAAGAGCACTTGGGGATTATAAATGGCAAACCTATGGGCGTGTTTTTATCATGTTTATAACTTTGCATCGTGGCTTATTAAGTTAGAGCATGATGAGGATACTCGTGCTTGTAATTTTTGCGAAACTCGACCTAAGTGGTTGATTGCCTTTGAGGTATATTCGTGTTTGCAGTGTTTACACATTTCCTTTTTGTTTATCCCTAATAAATTATGGATGTACAACAAATACTAAATGTTATTTTTGTTGGAGTATAAGGATGTTTCGAAAGAAAATTACTCGTTGTCACTATTTATGCTTCTCTAGGTGTGGATGCTTTGATCCATTCACTCAATGAGGTGTGAGTTCTCTTCTTGTACTTGCTTTACTATAATAGATTGTCTATGATATAACTATTTGTGGCATTTAAATCGTTTCCTTTTTCTATATGAAAGCCTATATTTCTTATTGTACTTGGATTAATTTGAAAATGTAGACGGACTCAAGTATTAACCCTAATTTGTGATCCCAAGCAATTGAAAACGCTAGTCGTGATAAGCTAAAAAATAACAAATTTTAAGAATATAATTTACTTTGAAGATGGAGAAACTACAAATGATTTGGGCATTTTTGGAAGTACAAGTAATTAAAAGGTTTCCTCTTTTCGAAGTTGAGAAACTGGGAAGAATAGTCCTATTCCTCCAAGCCTACCTTTAAATAATGGAATGGTCGTTGTTATGTACACAAGTGGAAGTATAGGCCGATCAAAGGTTTGTCCCATGTTGTAGTTTCTCACATTTTGGATTACTTATTGGAACTCAATGCATGGTAATTCTTTCCAAATTGACCTCATTGTAAAGAAGATGAATGAAAAGACCTCTCTCTATGGTTGTACATGTCTAAACCGAAAATAGGTTTGAGTTATGTAGCTTATAGGTCAAGACAAAGAGAACAATGAAACTCCAAGTGCGGGTTGTTCGTATGAATGCGAAGGCTTAGTTTTTTATATTGAGACAATTACTAATGTAGTATTGAATGTTGCATATTTATTTTTCCTTATTTTTCCCTACTAGAACCGACTTCTAACTTCATCGGTAAAATTGCATGCTTTCTTTTGCTTTGACTTGCATTCTGTTTACACCATAGGGAGTCATGATTACTCATGACAACATTGTAGCCAACTGCTGCAATTGCTTATGACGATGATTCCAAAACCGAGCAACAATTATGTATATTTGGCTTATTTGCCCCTAGCCCATGTTTTTGAACTGGAAGTCGAGGTACTCCATATACACATCCTTCTTTCATGTGCTACTTGTAACATACAACATATAAATAATAAATTTTATGGTTGTCCAATTTTTAATGTTGTTTGTAGGTTGTGTTGTTGTTTGTAGGTTGTCGTTGTTGGCTATGGTTCGGTATTGACTTTAACAAACACTTCTAACAAAATTAAAAAAGGGACCAAGGGTGATGCTTCTATGGATGAGGCTTAATCAAGTAGATGTGTCCCAAACCAATTAAACTATTTTGACGTAATTTATAGATTATAGTGACAAACAGGAAAAAAGAAGAAGAAAGAAATAGATCGGATAAGAGGATGAAAGTTGGGATTTAGTTTGATGTGAAGATGACTTGAGGTTTTTTTTTTTATAATTATTTTCTTTAGGAAGGAAGGAAAGTAGAGTTATGAATTTTTTTTTTTTTTTTGTCAGCTTTGGTTCGACTAGGTATACAAATTATTTAAAGTTTTGCATCCATGAGAAATTAATGATGATTTTCATTTGAAGTGAGATGTAATGAAACAGAGTTGGACTATTTGATAACATGTGTATCTACGTGTCAATAAATACTCATTTCGATAAATAAGTTTAAAAATATCCTCTTTTAGTAATAAAGATTTTAAAAGACCTTATTTAAAAAAAAAAACCTCTGCGTACCAAGACACAACACAGCGACAATAAATTCTCTCCACCTGCGTTCGAACCCAAGACCAGGTTGTGGAATACAAGTAGCAAACGAACAGGTCATCACGAGGCCAGTTAGATGAATAAATACCTCAAACTAGGAGGGTATAGAGACAAAATAAACAATATATCTCGTATATATTTTCGAGAAATCTATCTTACTATCTACTAGCAAAGCCCACCAAAAAGCCATCTACTGTAATTTTACGGAAAAAAAAACACTCCCAATCAAACCCTAGAGCTAGAGAGACTCGTCTCTCACTCGATCTGAACAAAACAAACACACAGAGACAGAGAGAAAGCAAGCAGCAGCAGTGTTTGTCTGTCTCAGTCGAGATTGGAGAAAGCAGAGATGGATGCGATGAGGAAACAGCTAGATGTGCTCATGGGAGCGAATCGAAATGGTGACGTAAGAGAGGTCAATCGCAAGTACTACGATCGTGATGTTTGTCGCTTATACTTGGTTGGCCTTTGCCCTCACGAGCTTTTCCAATTAACGGTATTATTTTTGTTATTCTTCACATCTATTTGATCCATATTTTTCTTTATTCACTTATAAAATCCCTAACATAACATCTCCATTTTTTTTTAATTTTAGAAAATGGATATGGGACCATGCCCGAAAGTCCATTCACTGCAGCTGAGAAAAGAGTATGCTTCACATTTATTTATTTATTTTATTTACCAATGTTGAATATATAGAATCTAAGTGAAAGTTCTTAACACTAGATATGAAGAAGCGAGGGCCAAAGGTGTTGATAACTATGATGTGGAGTTAGAGAATGTTATTGATAAGCTTATTGTCGAGTGCGATAAGAAAATTGGTAGGGCACTTAAGCGCCTTGAAGATGAGGACGCCAAGGCTGCTATTGCTATTTCAGTCACAGAGGTTACGCAGGTAACAGGCAGCAGCATTAGCACTCTTTTAGTTATTTCCCTGCTTCTTTTATTTTTTGTTAAATAATTTGAATTTTTGAAATTGCAGACGCCCGAGGTTATTGAGTTATCGAAGCAGATTAAGGAGAAGCTGAAAGAAGCTGACAAACATGGTGATATTTATGAGAAATAGTTTAAGATCTTGTATTTTAGGAATCTTATGTTGATGATGCTATAAAATATGTTTGATTCTTATCTGTTGTTAATGTTAGGATGCAGTAATCTTTTCCATGAAAACTTGGCACTTTTGGTTGAAATCAGAATGCTAATTATCTTGAAGGTTCCCTGTTGTGAGTGGCGCTGAATTAACTAACTAGCTAGAATGAATTATAGTCATTTGTTGAGGTTTTTCGCTTATGAGCATATATCTATAGTGGGATTAGATTTATTAGATGTCTTGTGAATATTGGAGTGTTTATTCATGTCCCCATTGTTGATGAAAATTCTACCAATTAGCAATTATTTAGAACATTGTTGTTGTACACATTGGAGTATGAAATAGTTATAAGGCTGTGAAACTTATTGGAATAGCTTTTCAAGTGCTTGTACAGCTGTCCTAACTGTTACCTTTTTGTTTTATTTAGAACGTCAACAATTTTTTTAGCATGTATAGAAACGAATGTGGATAGTGTGCATGGATTTTACCCTTGTTATTTCTTGAAAATTTTAGTTTATCTGGGTTTTAATAGCTTTGTATTGGTTTTGTATTGACATAAAATATTGCTATAAATCTGCAGATCTTGAAGGGAAAACAGATTTTAAGATTCAAGCTTTGGAAGAAGTGGAAAAACTCAGAAATGAAAGAGCAGAGAAGCAGGTATAGAGCATCTCTTTCGTTTGTTCGGGCCACTGTTATCTTCAACATAGTCTTATATGTATCACCCCACCCCACCCAAAAATAAAATAAAATAAATAATAATAATTCTGCAATCTTGAATCTCATTTTGGCTTCTATGCATGTGGCAATCTGGTCCCAGTCTGCACTCCTTTTGGAGGCCTTCAATAAAGACAGGGCTTCTTTACCTCAACCTATGCCAAACCCACCACCATCAGCACCCATGCCACCACCTACTCCTGACCCTCGCACCCAGGAGATGATAAATGAGAAGTTGAAGAAAGCGGAGGACCTTGGTAAGACACTAATTACCCATACATGTTTGTCTTTTAGGTTTCCTTAGAAGTTTCAAATTAACACAACATACTTATGTTCTATGCTTGTTTCCCATTGTGTTTGTGAGTTTCAAAGCTATAGTAGTTATTTCGTCGTGCTATTCCCCATCCTATTATTGTTTCCCTTTTCTCTAATTCCCTTCCTCTCCAAAAGGAAAAAAAGGGGGGGGGGGTCTAAATATATAAAGAAATAGAACTCAGTGGTTAGCTCTTTCTCATTATATTTCTTTTTAACATCTATTGGCATTTATAACCTGTTGAAAGATATAGTACTTGTTTGGTTCCCTGACACTCATTGCCAATGTGATGCCAGTATACACCCGGTTTCCTCTTTCTTGGGCCTACTATGCTGTTATCTTTCAGTATAGATGTGTTTGGAGGTTTTTTTTTTTTCATATTTTATTGAACTGTGTTTTTATTTATCAACAGATAAAGAGGAATTGTGGAAAAGAATATATATTGATCCAATGCCATTAGTGTGTTACTGGGACTTGTTGAGTTTCATATTTATGGAGATGGAGATGTATAGTTGAATGGAGACTGTAGCATAATGCTGTTTTGAGCCTCGTTTAGTTGTTTGAGACACCATGCATGAAAATCTAGTAGGCTTTAGGATTCATGTTTTTGTGCTCACACGGGCTCCAGTGTGCATTTTAGAGATTTGGGTGACTAAATGTTCTATGTTTTACCCGGCCTTTTACCCTTTTATTTACAGGATGTCTTGTGTAGTTCTCAAAATGTTATTCATTCTTCAGGTGAACAAGGAATGGTAGATGAAGCTCAAAAAGCATTGGAAGAGGCTGAAGCACTTAAGAAGGTTTTTCATTTTAAATTTTGGGTTACATTGATTTTGACCCTGGTGCTTTCTTCTCCCTGTTTTCTTGTCTCTCACTCAGCTCCTTTCTATCCACCTCTGTTTATTTTAGTTCTATGGTGTATTTCTACTACTTATACTTCTCTCTTCTTTTCAGCTTCCAGCTAGGCAGGAGCCTACCGTGGATTCCTCAAAGTATACTGCTGCTGATGTTCGCATTGTGAGTATTGCTACATTTTTAATTTATCTGATTTCTCCCTCTTTTTATTAATTTTCAAAGCTAAAGAAACAAATCAAAAATGAAAATAACCAAGGACACCAGTCAAGGAATCATGCCAGTTTTACTAACAGGTATTAGAAGGAAAGCTAGAGCTATGCATTTTGATACCTGACATGCTTCTAGGAAAGTAGAACTTGCATCAAAGAACAATTTGACTGCTTAGGCTTTTGTACTCTTCTCAAAAAATTTTTATGTAATGTGTACGTGCTTACATATCCATCAATTCCTGTCTGAAATATGCTTGTTGAAAGTTCAAAATCTGTCCATTTATGCATTGTTATTAGCTTGAAAATGTTTGAAATTTCAGCTCAATGGGACCTTTGCAAGTAGTCAATTTGTTTCTTAGTAGAAATTTAAGAATTATTGAGTTGCATATTTTTGAAATGTGCTTTTCTTAAGCATACAACTTTTTTTCCCCATTTTATTGTCACTATATTGGAGAAGTTAGGCATCCAGCTTGGTCCATGCTCAGTAATTTGGGTCCTCTATGCTATCTAATAATTTGCCAAATCTGACTCCTTTTATTTTTATTTCAGACTGATCAGAAGCTACGCGTTTGTGACATTTGTGGAGCTTTTCTGAGCGTGTATGATAGGTATAACTTTGATCTTGTATCTCCAAAAAAGTGCAATCCTTCCTCTTCTTGCTTTGTTTTTTGTTTTTGTCTTTGTTTTTTCTTTCCTTTCTGTGGGAAACAAATAGTATTTGGGGTTTCAAGTGGTTCAGCTTTTGACCCGACTATATACCTCCTTGTTACCAGCAGGCTTTTGGGCCCAGTTTTACGAGGATAACTTTTGCAGCTAAAGAATGTGCGTCATTTTCTGTTTTATATGTTTGTAGATCATGCTATAGTTAGAATATCGTGGGGCAACTTATTATGCGTGCACATCCCTTTCATTGTTGACATCTTTGTGAAATGTCTCTGTTCTTTCCAGTGACCGACGCCTTGCAGATCATTTTGGAGGGAAGCTTCATTTAGGCTATATGCAAATTCGTGAGAAACTCACGGAGCTTCAGGTATGGAAAAAGATAAAATTGCCTACTCGGATTGTTTGCAATACGTCCAATTTCTTTCGTATTTTGGTTTTTCAGGTTAATTATGCAAAAATTGGAAACATGTGTTTTGAACCTACCAAAATCATCTTAATTGCTTAGTCTCCAATTCTCTTTTGATGAAAATCATATGTTCAAAATTCTGCTGCAGTTTAGGCATCAAAAACAATTACTAGAATTGATGTGCTGTGCTATGGGATAAATTTAGTTGCTTTACCTCATTTTTGGGATGTCTTTAAGTTGGTATTGTGAATATGTTGGCTCAGGTGCTGGTATAATGTTTGACATTCTACTGTAGAGATTCTCAGTTAGTATTCGATCTGTGAGTTTTTCTGACCTCGAAGAAGAATAACCTGTCACTCTTTTTTTCCTCTTTTTTTTTCGTAATCTGGTATAGCTGCTGAACTTGGAAAGGCAGTAACTCTTTGCAAAAGACTTCTGGTGTATTGGTATCAAAGATGAAAATGCATAATGTCTAATCTGTATGGTAGATTGACAGAATGTATGCTAAAAGGCATTTTTGGACAATTAAAGACGTTGGATGCATCCTAGTATTTATCTTGTCAAAAATATATTTTTTATTCAATATCTTACAAAGCATCTGATTTTTGCTGGAATCTGTGGATCTTGATCAAAGCGTTACAAATTTTTTAATTTGGCGAGTTGAAGAAAGCAGAATAGAATATGGTTCAATAAACCAGACTTTGTTTTTCCTGCAACTTAGTTGGAGAAATTTAATTTAAGAGTGTTTAGTCAAGCCATATTCTAAAAACTTTTTGGAATGGAACGTGTGGATCTGGATCAAAGTGTTACAAATTTTTTTTAATTTGGTGAGTTGAAGAAAGCAGAATAGAAGATGGTTTAATAAACCAGACCTTTTTTTTTTCTGCAACTTAGTTGGAGAAATATAATTTGAGAGTCTATTTTGTCAACCTGTATTCTAGGACTAGGGTTAACAGTGGTGTTATATATTATTGGTGTGATCTGGCTGTTACAGTTGCATTTTACTGAAAGAATTGAAAAAAGGGGGAAAGGGTAGGAACAAGTAAACATAACTTTATATTGCCGCAAGTATTCTACTGGAATTTTCTTTTGAAAGCCCAGTGGTCTTCTTCTCATAGATGTATGTTCCGCTTGTACTTGCTGCATTTTTGCATGCATTTGAGTCTACATATTCCTTACGATTAAGGGGTTCGCCTGTTTGGGCCCGTGGATGGTGTTGCACCGCTTGTTTGTTTTGGAGTGCTATTTTTTTGTGAAACAACGCTCTCAAGTGTTCAAATAGAGACATTTGCAATTGGATATAGCTCTTCCAATATTTAAACAGGTGGCGTTTTTCATTTGGGTTTAATCTTCTATATATCAAGTGTAGTGATTTTCATGTTATTAAAGAATGGTTTTCAGTTCTTTATAATTAATTTTCCAGGAAAACAAGCACCGCAAGGGTGACCGGTACGATGACCGAAGGTATTCTCAATTGAGTTACTATTAGATAGATCAAGTTTCTTATTGCAAATTTCTTCTATCTTTCCTTGACCCTCAAATTATTGATATTGTTATCTTGTAGATCGAAAGAACGGAGTAGAGATCGTGACAGAGAATCAAGCAGGGATCGAGATCGTGGAGATAGCCGTGACCGAGGGAGGGATTATGATCGAAGGAGCAGAGATCGTGACAGGTATAATGACCGAGATCGTGGATATGATCGTGAACGTGAGAGAGTTGCTGAGCGCTCCCGCAGTTATGATTCAAGAAGTCGTCGCAGATCACGTTCTCGGTCTAGGGAACGTTCTAAGGATTATGATCGCCACAGGTACTTATTAACCCCTGTATCTAACTGTTATTTGTTGTTTCATTTTTTTACTCAATGAGGTCATCTCTTTTAATTGATTTCACTTTTAATTAGAGTTGTATAAACATGTTTATGCTTTCTAATATAATAAAAATCATATTAGAGTTTAAGTAATTAGGGTGTGAGAAGTTCTTGTTATGCATCTGCACGCTCCACTTTGGAAATAGAACTAAATGATTCCTAGCCATGTTATGACTAGACGATTTCCACGATTCAATTAGTATATAATTCTAAAGGGAACGGTTCTTAATATGGTGTCTCCCATGATGCTTGAGGGGGAAATGAATTCTTGTAATCATTTGAAAACCTACTTTGTAAGTGAGGTCCAAATTAATTCACTACTCCAATTAACAAAAAAATTTCTGGGAGAGTTGAGAAACATCAATGCTCTGGCCTTCCTGCTGCAAAAGTTTTATTTTATGACAAATGATTTCAACTGTTATTAATTCAAATTACTTGGCTTTATTACTTATATCTATGTTTGCTAAAGCTGTTTCCTTGTCATACATTCAATCTGCTCAGACAGTCATGTGTTTATTGTAGCTGTCAACTGTAAAATCGTTCTCACATTTGCCTTAGCACCCCAGATACCATGCATCCTGTAAACTATCCAGTTAAACATGTTATTACATTTGGCAACTGCAATGTGGATTATTTGATTGTCTTTTGTTCTTTAGTACTAACTGTTTATACTTCTTGCATGTTACTGATGGCTCCCTAATTTTCTCTTTTTGCAGGCGGTATGATCGGTATTAAGATCGTGTTGTTGAGCAGTTGGGTATGGAAATTTGTGTTTGTTGCCTAGGTCAGTAAACTTGTGGTTTTGAATCCGAAGTATGGGTTTCTGTGTCTTTCTGATAGTTCTAGTGGAGTTTGATAGTTATCTGCTGCTATCATGGATACCAACTGCATTGTAGATTTTCTTGACTTCTATGTTTAAGAGGTATGGGTTGAACTGTTTTCCAAGTTCTTTGTGTTTTTAGTCATGCATGTGCTGCATGAGTTTCAGAGCTGCTACCTTTTCTTTTTTCTCATATTATTATCCTTCCTCAAGTTGGTCATCTATGTTAAACAACACTTTAGCTTGTTTATGTATGGATTACTTGGGGAGAAGGTTCAGTATGGATGTGCAGTGTGTGCAGTGTCAAAGTATTGTCAGCATGATTTGAATATAATGCATCACCCTCTGTCAATTTTGTTCGCAAGTGAATGTATTACTGTGTAGGGGTGATGCACACACTCCCCCAACACCCACACGCACAAGCGTCATGTGTGGCGCAGCCCAGTAGATCTCACATCCCTTCTCCATGCCATAGCTGGGAGCTTATCAGCAGAAAGGTCCTTTCCCCTAATTTAGTTTAGACGCAGCTCGAATGGTTTTATGCTACCGGCAGTATTGAGCATGATGCTTTGACAAATAACAACACTTTTTCCATGACTAAACAAGCTCACAGAAGCGCTTTTTTTTTTTTTTTTTTTTTGGGGGGGGGGGGGGGGTTTGCCCAACGTGAAGCTGTTATTTGTTTATTTTTTTTTTTATTTGCCTAGTAATGTAGATTATTTATTTATTTATTTCATATTTGCCTAGTAATGTAGTTTTCTTCACCAGAGTGAAAATCAGGACATGTACATTCTAGATAAATGTTAGTAAAAAAGTATCCAGTGGCTGTGAGATGCAGCTGAAATCGATTTTGTTTTTCAAATTTGTCTGATATTTTGGGTCTTCCTGAGCATGTGCTCATTGCTGCTTTAAAAAATCCTAAGATTGCAAGAAATGCATGTGCTTTTGGTTCATCATTTTTTTTCCCCTTTCTGTAGGAGTTCAAAATCCAGTATGATTGTTTCTTTACTTTCTGAAATGTCGAAGCAAGTGTGGTTACCAGTAGATTTTGTTAGTATTTTGTTGAACAGAAAGTTAAGCTTATAGAAACCTACAACTGCATTCAATTTGTGATTGTTTCAGTTAAATTTCATTTTAGTGGTGTGAAATGCAGTTTGTTTCTCGTGTACTTTATATATAACATCAATTGAAATGTTTAAAAACGAGTCACATATTGAGCTACTTGCGAGTGGTTATATTTTTCATTCAAATTATTACTAGCTGAAGCAGAATAAACTGATAGGAAATTGAGGTGCTATCTGGTTGTCCGTGCTTAGATGGCATTGCGGCATTCAGATGAATTGCAAGACCTTAATCTGCTCATTATGGTTGCTTAGTTGCAGTCGCCCTGTCTAATGCATGTCCATCGAAATGTTTCATCCATTGTGGTTCACAATTTTGGGAAGATGAATATCTGTTAGTGATGTCCAAGGTCACTTGGGTCCTTGATGGGGTAGGCTATGTCGTCGGCTGCCAAGATAATAGCTTGTTCTTTGTGTTGACATTGAATTATCTGGCCTTCAGAATGGAGTTTTACAGTTACAAGAAAAAAACAGGAGCAAGCTCTTGAAGGTGGATGTTACTTTTGTTGACTGGTGGAACCCGATCGTCTCTAGACTAATTTTTAAACAACGGTAAATAGCGTTTGTGGTTATTCTGCTTAGAGAACGCTAAACATCTATGGAAGGGGTTTTTTAAAAAAAAATAAAACACATTTAAAAATATAAAAATAATTTATTGTATAAATTATAATAAAATATTTTTAAAAATAAAATATTGACATTCTAAAATTTTATCTTAAAATTCATATATTAAAAAACTAAATTTATTAACAAATAAAATTATATTAAAAATTATTAGTCATTATAAATTGACAATAAAATAAAAAATTAAAAATGTTTCAAAGTGACAATTATAACTTAAAAACTATATATATATATAAGAGAGAGAGAGAGAGAGAGAGAGGCCAGGCTAGGCAACCATGACTTGGGGTGTGCGTGCCCAAGAGCTAAGCCTTGGTTGCTGGTCAACCCAGCAAGGGAGAGAGAAAAAAAAAAGAATTGGGGTACTCTATATATATAAGGAGAGAAAGAGGCCAAGCCTTGGCTCCTGGTCAAAAAAAATATATATATATATAGAAAGAGTACAAAAGAACTAGGGTGATGTTCATCACTGTTCACTTACTGTGAATATACCTCAGATCTTTTAGTTTCTTTGTAATTATTATTATTATTATTATTATTTCTCTTTTTTGTTTCTTCCTCCTCTCCACCATGGCTCCCTCCGTCAATTTGATGTATGTTTTATCTCTCATGATTTAGATTGCCAAATTCCAATATAAATACAAAGGTTCATAGTCTTATTTGTTCTTATATAACAGCTCAAGATTTTAATATGTTTTTATATTTTAAAATGATTTCATTATTTTAATAATTTTTTTAATCTATTTTTCTGCTTGCACTTATTATTATTATTATTATTATTTTGATGAAAATGCCTCTTAGCTTATATATATATCTTTTCCTTTTTTCTTCCTCTTCTCTTCACCATGGCTCCCTCCATCTTCCCCTCCCTCTCCCTCCTTGTTGGAGAGAGGAGGGGGAGGAAGAAAAAGGAAAAAAAAAAAAAAAAAAAAACCTAATAGATATTTTCATTGAAAAAAAAAAAAACAAAAGATTATGTGCAGGTCATATGGTCAATTTCTAATGGTTTTGTTAGGAACTTGACAAGAAAGATAGATTAGAAATGTGTTAAAATAACAAGGATATGATTTAGTTTTTTTAAGGATATAATGACAGATTAGAAATTTGAGTTATTATACAAGGACAAGTGAGGCTCGCTCCCTTGCTCTCTCCCTTCCTCCTTATTGGAGAGAGGAGGGAGAGGAAGAAAAAAGAAAAGAAAAGAAAAAAAACCTAAGGGGTATTTTCATAAAAAAAAATTATGTGCAAGTCACATGGTCAATTTCTAATGGTTTTATTAGAAAATTGATAGAAAAGATAAATTACAAATTTGTTAAAATAACAAAGACATGATATCATTTTTTTTAGGATATAATGACAGATTAGAAATTTGATTTATTATATAAGGATAAGTGAGGCTATTTATCTTAATTATAAATAGTGAAATTTGGAGTGTGGAATTGTTTTTCCTTTTTGTAGGATGTGCTGGAGGCTATAAGCATTCAAATTCTGTAAGAACTTAGAGATATGACTTATGTAACGTGTTTGGCAAAGAAAGGTTTAATGCCAAAAATTATTCTCAAATTATGGTTAATGGTTATAAAGGTTTACTTATTTTGTTTTATCGTGTTCTTTTATTTATTTATTTTTTTGTCTTAAATTTATCTCTTTACATTTAGTTTTTGTTTTAATCTAGTTCATCTCTTAACTTTTAGATTGACGACATTAAGTTGTTTTTTGTCTATTTTAATTTCGTCTTTCTACTTTATTTTTTTTTTTAATATTTTTGTTTAAATAAATTTTGGAAATGTTTTTTTAAAAAATAGATAAAAAGATGAAGATATATCTTGTCATCATCTCTAAGAATAAAAAATAAAAAAAATACTTTGAAAAAAAAATTGAAGTTAAAAATATTTTTTAATAATATCCAAAATATTTATTATAGGTTTAGATTTGTCTCTATGATAGTAAACAAATTTTGAGTATAAAATAAAATATCAATAATATTTTTTTTTTTAAATATGTCTCCATGATAGTATAGAAATCCTGACCATAAAATAAAATATTTATAGTATTTTTTTTAAAAAAATATGAAGATAGTCTCTATGATAGTAAATAAATCCGGACCATAAATAAAATATTTATAGCATATTTTTTTAAAAAAATACGAAGATAATTTTAGTTAAAATTTTAAATTTTTAAATGATATTTATTATATTTCAAACGAGTCTATTATAATTTATTTATTTGATTTTACAAATTTTTTATTTTCACTTACAAGGAGGGATATAAATTTTTTTGAGGGTTGAACCAACACTAACAAAGTTCTTCATTTGAGTAAAACTTGTAACAAAATTTATAACTTCACTTTTTGAGTTAAATTAAAAAATTTATAAAATCAAAGTAAGTTAATTATAGTAGACTTTTTGAATTATTATAAAATTATAAATACCATTTGAAAGTTTTATTCAAAATTATAAATATGAAGATGGTCTCTATGATAGTAAAGAAATCCCGACCATAAAATAAAATATTTATAGTATTTTTTTTAAAAAAAATATGAAGATATTTTTAGTTAAAATTTTGAATTTTTAATGATAGTTATTATATTTCAAATGAGTCTATTATAATTTATTTATTTTGATTTTACAAAATTTTTATTTTCACTTACAAGGAGGAGTATAAATTTTTTTGAGAGTTGAACCAACACTAACAAAGTTCTTCATTTGACTAAAACTTGTAACAAAATTTATATTCTCACTTTTTCAGTTAAATTAAGAAATTTGTAAAATCAAAGTAAGTTAATTATAGTAGAGTTTTTGAAGTATTATAATATTATAAATACCATTTGAAAGTTTAAAAACTAAAACTTTCTTCGCATTTTTTTTAAATACTATAAATATATTATTTTATATTTAAAATCTTCTTACTATCATATAGATAAATTTAAAAACATAATATTTAGATAAAAAAATATTTGTAGCTTTACCTTTTTTTTTTTTTCTATTTTTAAAATAGAACGAAGGATAAGATTAAAACAAAAAAATAAGTAAACATCGTTAATTTAAAAGTTAACGAAGTAACGAGATTAAAGTAGAAATTAGCAAAGTTACGAGGTTAAAGCAAAAACACTGAAGGATGAACTTAAAACGAAAAAATAAAAATAAAAATAGAAAGATACAATTAAAAAAAAAAGACTTCTGCAGTCATTAACCTCTCTAATTATTTGAGGGTTAAGGCAAAAAATATTATTTTTTTCCAACTATTTTTTATGGTCAAATTATTAACCGATTATTAAATGTTTTAAAAAATTTTATTTTAAATTTTATATTAATTTCCAAAAAAATAATATAATAATAATTAAAAACCAGCAGCATGTGGTCTTACACACGACACAATTGCCTAGAATATTTCAGTAGAGTGAGGCTGCATTCAAAATTTGAAAAACAAATTCCTTTGGTTCTCTATTTATAAGCAAAGCTCACCATTCTCTTTTATCCAGTGAAATCAAAATTACATAATTGGTCTTACACAATAGCATAAGACAAAGGAATTGATTAATTCTAAAGCCGAATCAATTAAAAGAACAGAAGCACTCGGAACATGAGAATATTTCAAACATGATAGTGGTTATGGTGGCAAAAGGTAAGGGAGAGGAGAGAGAGTCGATTGTTACGGTTGATGGCGACAATAAAGAGAGGAAAAAGAGACAGTTGGTGGTGCTGGTCATGGATGACAGTAGAGAGAGAGAGTGGTCATGGTTGGTAGCTGCGGTGTTGACAGAGTAAAACAAAGCAGGTGGTAGAATGTGACGGCAACGACGAAAGATCTTGTAAAGAGAGATTCGAAGATTGAATTGTGATTTGGATGTGGTAAAGGAATTGGAAATTGGGATTACAGGATTTGTAGGGACAAAAATTTCAGAATGATGGTGGCCATGGACGATCTTGGAGAGAGATCGTGTATGGTGATGGTGAAAAGCAGAAAAACTTAAAAAAAAAAAAATTCGATAGCAGCCTTTCTTTCTTTCTCTGATGAAACATTGTGAGTAAAACGTAAATTAATCGCTTTATTTTCAGAAACTGATTAATTAATTTTTTTCTTATTTACTTTCAACCACACTTTATTTAATGAGAAATTATCCAGGATTCTGAAATTTCACATCATAACCTTTTTATTCATTGTGTGCCATGTGTAAAGCTATGTGAGATAAAATTTTTAAAATTTAAAAATTTCTTCTCTCGCTAACCTTCATCTTCTGACCAAAAAATAAAAAAAACCCTTCATCTTCTCCTTCATCCCCTGTCTCTCTCTCTCTCCAATGGCTTGTCGCCCAACTCCTCCTTCCTCCGTCGTCTATCTCTCTGTGGGTGGCTCCATCTCTGCCGATCTCCTTAGTCTTCACCCCGCCCAATTCCACAAGTGGTGTCCAACTCTAGTCATTTAAAGAACACATCAAATTTCTACAAAGTACTGTAGATCTTGAAAGGGTTGCACAAGCCTTTTGACATTAAGGAAATCACTGCCATAGGGAGAAAATAACCCACAAAAAAGAGTCTTGTGGTACCTTTCAAATCTTTCATATTTGCAATTATTTTCATCAGGAGCAGAATGACTTGATTTTGTTAGGAAAAACATCACATTAAATTATCACCCAAATGATACATTGCGGATAATATATGTTGTTACCAGAGGGGTATTAGAGGAAGCGGTAATCAAATACTAAGATGAGCAGATCCGACGTTGCATTTCGTTTAGAGTGCAAGTGGAATTCATAAATAAATATGAATTGTATGCAACATGACTATTACTCTGTGGATAATGTCTTGATCAATTCTTTAGATTAATTTAATGAAAGAACATTTATCTGGATCTAATCAAATTGTAACGAATTGACAAACACAAACAACAAAGTGCATATCAATTAAGAGCAATAAACCAATATCATATGCAAAAAATTTGAGTAGTGCATTAGTATGCAGCATAGCAATTTGGAAGACAAATCCCAGCATTCCATACAGCACACAGAGAGAGATGGCGAAGGAAGGAGGAATTGGGCGGTAAGCCACCGTAGAGAAAGAGAGAGATGAGGGATGAAGGAGAAGATGAAGGGTTTCTTTTATTTTTCGATCAGAAGATGAAGGTGAGCAAAGAAATTTTCAAATTTTAAAAATTTTATCCCAAATAACAAAAATTTACACGTGGCACACAATAAATGAAAGGGATCTTTATCTAATGTGGAATGTCAGGGCCCTGGATAATTTCTCTTATTTAATATTATTTTATTTTATAAAATGTCATATTTTCTAATCCATCATTTCGTATGATTTACTTATTCTTTCTTTTATTTATTTCTTAAAACAAAAAATCAAATAAATTGAAAAGGAGCAACACTGCAACAAGGAATACATTATTAAAAAAAAATTAAAAATATAGAGAATAAATAATTATTTTTTTAAATAAAAAATATTAATTAATTTAGTTTTCAAAATTATAGAGATTATTTTATAATTTACTCAAATATGGGAGATAATTGTGTCTCAGGACAGCAAGTGTGTGTTAACAAATTATGTGTTGTTGGTTTTAATTTTAATATAGTATTATTTTTTGAAATTAATGTAAAAATTAAAAAAATAGAATTGAAGCTAACAGTTAAAGATTTGACTATGAAAAATGACAAAAAAAGATAATATTTATAAAAAATTAATAGTTAAATATTCAAATAACTCAAATTGATAATATAAATTTTATTTTATGACAACTTCAATAGTTTAAGAATAAATTTTACTACTAAAGTCTTTTTTTATTTTGATTTCTAAAGTTAATAAACAAAGGTAGATTTTTTTTTCTTTCGAGAATACATATAGGAAGTTGATATTAAATCTACAAATTTAATTTGAATAAATTATAAATGAGTCTTTTTAGTTTTGAGAAATGAATTAATTATTTAGTCTTTATATTTTAAAATTTTCTTATAACTTGAATTTAAATTCACAAATTTAATTTGAATAAATTACAAATGAGCCTTTTTAATTTTGAAAAATAAATGAATTATTCTTTTTTAAACTAATTATTTAGTCTTTATATTTTTTAATTTTCATATAACTTAATTATTTTCGTTTTTTTTTTCATTTTTTTTTTGTTTTAAGAATAAAAAAAGGATTTTTGTTTTAAGAAAAAAAGCTAAGTAAAAAATAAAAAAGAATTGATGAAAAAAAGATATTTTTTGAAATAAAATAATATTACATTAAATATATTTTAACATAGATCAATTAATTAAATAATTAATTTTTAAAATAATAATAGCTAAGTATTAATTTATAATTTACTCACTTAATTTGGACTCGATCGGCCTGGCATATTGAATCCAATAAAGTCTTTCCAAATCGAATCATATACATAACCTAAAGTTGTCACACGTGTGACTCCCCGAACAAGCATCATATACTACCCATTTTGGTTTCGATTTTGATTCTGATTTCTGTGCTGTCCACCTTTAATTCCGTCTACTTCACCTCAAGCAGCCGACGAACCGAGTCTTTCTCTCTTTGAAAATGGTTTCCATTTCTCTCCTGCGCTTATCTCCAATTCCCACCCCAAAAACCCTATCAAAACCTCGCCCCTTTTCTTCCTTCAACCCATCCTCAATTCCCTCTCTCAAATTCCTCCCTAAAACCCGTCTGTCACGAAAGTCCAGTATCGTCACCCGGATGTCATACAATCCCACACCTGCCACAGATCGGTTAGTCTCGGCCGTTTCTTACACTCTCCCTTTCTTTAACTCTCTCCAGTACGGCCGCTTCCTTTTCACCAAATACCCATCTCTGGCTCTCCTCGTTGACCCTCTAATCCCTCTCTTAAGCCTCTACAGATCAATCCCATATGCGAGTTTTGTGGCCTTTTTCGCTCTCTACTTGGGTGTGGTGAGAAACCCAAGATTTAGTCAGTACGTGAGGTTCAATGCAATGCAAGCTGTGACTTTAGATGTTCTATTGGTGGTGCCTTTGCTTTTGACCCGGATCTTCAATCCGGGTCGGGCCGGGTTAGGGTTTAAGTTGATGGTTTGGGGTCATAATGCTGTGTTTTTGTTTAGTTGTTTCTGTTTTGTTTATGGGTTGGTGAGTTCTGTTTTGGGTAAGACTCCTTATTTGCCGTTTATCGCTGAGGCTGCTGGTAGACAAGTATGAGTGGTACTCCTTATTTTCCGTTTATCACTTTTTCTTTTTTCAGCGTAATTGAAACTTTCTATTTTTTATTTTATTTTTTCCATTTAGTTTTGATTGAAATTGACGTGTGATGTTGGATGTATGTTTCATAACATAATAATCATCTCATATTAAATAAAATAAAATAATACCAAAAAAAAGTAGTTGAAAAGACCAATACTCTCAGCATCAATTATATTCCAATTCAATCTATCGATGTCACTCTGGTTTTCTTTTGATTTTATCAGTAAATCGGGCTTGGTCATATTCGTTGTTGTTGGTGGTCCTATTTATGTTGTGACCTGTGGTAGCTGCTCAATTCAATCTAACAAGTTCAATCCTGAGAGCTTGTTTTTCCCCCATTTTACTCTCTTATTCCTCATTTAAAATTATTTTTACAAGATTTTTTTTTATGGATTTCGTACATTTGGAACCAAATTTGTTTGGGTTTGGTTGATTGATTGGAAGTTCAATTTTGTGAATTTCAATAGAGAAGAAAACTAAATGAATAACATTATAAATTGTAACCCATTAAAGATAATGTATCAATGCCATGTGTGTCACTTATTTATAAATTGAGTTTAACGATTATGTATCACGTCAGATTAAAAATATATAACATTATAATGGAATGTGTTAAACAAAACTAAATGAAAAGTAAATAGCCTTGATCAATTCAAAAAAAATATAAAAAGTCTTAATTAAAAAAATAAAAGATACATATAGGAAAAAAAACTCCAATTAAAATGCATGCAACTAGTTATTAAAATGTTTTATGTTATTATTTGTTTTTCGGATGTTAGAAAAAAAATGCAAAGTCTAAAATTATTAGACAATTGTAACCCATTAACCTTTGTATTCAAAGCTGCAACTAGTTATTAAAATATTTTATGTTATTATTTGTTTTTGGATATTAGAAAAAAAATGTAAAGTCTAAAATTATTAGAAAATTGGAACCTACTACCCTTCGTATTCAGAGCATGATAGTGTTTCAATTAATTTGAAAGAGTTGACGATTGAATGCAATTGATATTAGGGAACAAATTTTTTTTTCCCTTCAAAATTTAGATAAGATCAAGCGTATTTAGTTTCGGAGCGGACTTATAGTAGAGTTTGTGTGAGAGTTCTTGAAAACTAATCAAACGACTAGTCTCTAAATTTATCTAGATACAAAGAGTTAGTATTGTAACTTGTAGAAACAAGTAAATTATAAAAACAATGATTGACCAACCAAGTAAAAGTGATGCATGTAGTGAGAGGTGTGGGAGGAGCGAGCATGTAGGTCGGCAAGGCAAAAATCAAGCGACAAGTAGGTGGATTTTCAAAATCCAAACAAATAAAGCTTTAGGTGATGTCCGATGTGTAAATAGAAAAGTTTTGAGAGGGAGTTCGGAGGTTTTTTTGTTAGAAATTATAAACTTAGAATGAGAAAGTTTTCGACTCTCTCACAATGATGTGGGGTTGATATTTATAGCAAATTAAAAATCTCTCTTGCTCGCTAGGATAGTGCTTGAGTCATCTATGTTTGAATGATCACATTTGAATAGAAAAAACTTGAATTCTTTTAGGCTAAACCGCTTCAATTTGCTAGCAAATGCTAAAGAAAAGAAACAATTGACCTTTTTTTTAGTGGATTCTACTCCGAGTTCATCAAACTAATTTCTCTAATACATCACAATGATAAAATATGGACGTTAGAGTTGCTAGATCGCATGTATCTTTTCTCGCAATCCAAGGTCTTGTGCCAAGCGACGTCCATCCTCCGTCTAATTCATTTATGATGTAGTTTGAATCCATGTCAAAATAAAATAAAATAAATAAATATGGATTAGCACTTAATAAAAATTAGCTTAAGTTACTCGATCAATTTTATAGAAAATGAAGCATATACATTTAACCCACTATACAAACAACTTTATTAGCAAAAGTGTTCGTACAATTATGTATGACGACATAAAGAATATAAAGTTAAAAAGTATAATCTAATAATAACTATGGTAGACTTGTCTTGAGTCTCTCACCATATACTAAGTAACTAGTGAAGAGTATGATAGGACTCACGAGAAAATAAATAGTAAAACTTTACAGAGCTTGCTAAGAGCCCTCCTAAAAATAGGTCATTGGAGTAGATTTTAATTTAAAAAAAAAAAAACTTTCGATGGGTTCTTTATCACTACAAAATTATGGATTTCTAAACTAGCTTTTCAAATTGATAAAGTTTGCATCAAATAAATAAGCGAGATATAAAATTATGACCGATTAACTTAGTGAACACATCTTTTTTTTTTTTTAGCTAGCACGTATTGTGGCTAATGGTATTGTTAATTATGTTATACAACAATATCATTTGATCTTACTGCATCTTCTAGTCTTATTTAGGAATAGACACAAGACTTAGACATGTTCCTCATGAGCATTGCTTATGTAATTAAAGTGATCTGAAACATATAATTAGGCTAGTTTAGGACTAACCAAGCCTTGGGAATAGAGTCTAAAATTCATCAAGGAAAAGGAAGAATCTCAACAAATAATATATTGATGAGTGTTATATAAAAAATTTATACAAGCTTTGGCCCAATAAACTCTTAAATGGGTTTTTCTTATTCACCCCTTCTTGATTGATTTCCCTAAAGTTTATTGGTTATTTTCTACAAACGACCATCCCTAGCCGACAAGATCCAACATCCATGAGTAGCCCAATCACTATTAGAAAAATACCAATCGGCGACGGATCATAAAAGGTTGTGTTTTGCGACAGATTAGCGATAGACTAAAGAGAGATACTAAGCGATGGTTAAAAATTTGTCGCTAAATAAGGTGGAAAAAAAGTGTTAAAATCGGGGACGAATTAACGATGACCATGTGGTCGCTAAATGAAAAAATTAGCGATGGAATTTTTTTCGTCGTTAAAATTCTCGTAATTTAGTGAAGTTAACGATGGATTTTGAAATCCGTTGCTAACATTTTAGATTTTAAGGGGGAATTTTCCCCCAAATTAGTGACGGATCGGGCATCCGTCGCTAACTTTGGGATTTTGACGAGAAATTTTCCCACCGAAATCACCGAGTTAGCGAGGAATTGTGAAATCTGTCGCTATTTTGAAATTTTGGATGGAAATTTTTCCACCTAGATGGTTTAAATTAGCAATGGATTGGTGATTCCGTCGAATTAGTGAAGGATTAAAATCCGTCGCTATTTTAAAATTTTAGATGAAAATTTTCCCACCCACACGGTTCAAATTAGCGACGGATTGGCGATTCCATTGTTAATTAGTGACGGATTGAAATCCGTCACTATTTTGAAATTTTGGGTGGAAATTTTCCCACCCACACGGTTCAAATTAGCGACGGATTGGCGATTCCATCATTAATTAGTGATGGATTGAAATCCATCGCTATTTTGAAATTTTGGGTGGAAATTTTTTCACCCACACGGTTCAAATTAGCGATGGATTTATGATTTCGTCGCTAATTAGTGATGGATTAACGATTTTGTCGCTAATTAACAATGGATTAGTGATGAAATCGTGTCCGTCGCTAATCTCCGAACCTATAAACACACGGTTTCTCTTCTTCTTTCCCATTTCGTCCCCTCTCTCCTCCACCCAAAAATCCATCGTCGGCCGGAAAACCACCACCATGTCACCCCTCGCCACCAAGTGACTTCCCAAAGCATTCAACTTAGTGAGGTGCATCTTTCTCCATCAAAATCCAACAAAATCTCCGTTCTCTCTCCTTGATCTCTTTGCTAAAACTTTCTCTCTCTAATTCTTTTGTTTTTTTAAATTAAATGAATGTTATAAACTTTTAGGTTAATTTTGTTATTTGTTAGTTGATTAATTGTTTGAATGTTGTTAATTTTATTATTATGTTAAATTTTAATTGTGTTAATTTATTTTTTTATTATTAGTGTAAATTTGTTAATTATTTATTTAATTTTCTTAATTGTTATATTAATTTTTTTAATATATTAATTTTTTTAAGTGTTATTTTTTAATTGTGTTAATTTTTTATGTTAATTTTTTAGGTTTAATTTTATTAATTTAATTTTTTAAGTACTTTAGTTAAGTTTGATTTATTGTTAATTTATTTATTTTTAATTTTTAGATTAAAATTTAATTATTTAATCTTTAATTTTTATTTTAAATTAATTAATTATGTTAATTATTAGGTGAATTTTGTTAGTTGTTTGTTTTAAGTTAATTTTTAAATTATATAATTTGTATGTACTTTAGTTAAATTTTGTTGATTATTTCTTAAGAAATTTTTAATTTATTGGTTGCCTATAGATTCGTTGACTAGTCAACAATCTATTGTTACTTCCACACGACCTCCCGTTTAGCCTCCACCCGATCCTCTCGTCGAGCCCTCCACATAGTACCAAAAGGAGGATATGGGATTACATGAGCATGATGATTGAAGATCGGTGATAAAATAAACATTTAGTGACTTTGTTTTATTTTATCGAATGTACTACTGAATGTTATTGTTAAAATTAATTTATTTTCGATCTATGCATTATTACTTTTAATTGTTAACTATCACATCCAATATTAATTATTAAATATTAAATGCAATATTAATAATTTTTAAAAAAATCAAAATAAAATGAAAAAATATTTACTTTTTTGAAAATATAGCAATGGAATAGTAACGAATTGGTGATAATTTTGTTTTTCAAAATAGAAATGAATTGATTTTCAAAATTAGCGATGGAATAGTGATGGATTTATTTTTAAAATTAACGATGGAATAACGACAGATTAGCTACGAACAAAATGACCGAACCGGTGATAAGATTAGTAATGGATTTTTTGGTTTAGTGACGGATGTTCCGTCGTTACATGTTGCGATGGACTGAGTATTCGTCGCAAAAAATTAGGGACAAGCGAAATAGCGATGGAATATTTTTCGTTCCTATACGGAATCGGGTCGTTTAGCGATGGAATATTCCGTCGCTAAACTCCGTTTTTTGTAGTGAATAAGCTTAGTCTAGGTGAAATAAATCGAACGACTTGCAACAACAAACTAGTAAGCAAGAAAAATTTAAAAAAAAAAGACTTTGAAGAAGAACAAATCCTAGAAGGAAACATAAGAAACAATCCTATTTAGCAAGTAAGATCAATCAACAAGTAATTGGCAAAGAATAATATAATTCTAACATCAATAAAGGCATGATTCAAACGAGTTAGAAATAACGTGAGAGGTTGCAACACAAGAATGATAGATTAAAATAAGGAATGTGGTGCATTGCTATGTAAGGAAAGAAGATTGAGGAAGAGCACGAAGTAATACAAAAAAAAAGTGATATGGTGTAGAAGAAACTAGTCCACCACAAGAAATCATAGAAGAATAAAAAGCTTATAAACTGATGAGTATATAATTAGCATGATTTTTATGCTCTATTACATCAAACTTTTTATTGTTTATTGTACTATATTATGCTATTTAAGAATAAGATGATGGTTTTGAGTTTTATAGGAAATGCTATGAATCGGAGGAAGGAAACCAAAAACCAAAGCAAAAAAGAGAGAAAACTTCAAAAAGACTTAGAAGAGTCGCACGACCATGTGAAATAACAAGAAAAAAAGCTATTAGTTGTATGATATGAAGAAGGAAATCATGTGTCTCACAAGAAGAAGAAGCCACACGGGTAGTAGCATTCCACGTGGCTAGAGGAAGAAATCCCACACGACCTTATGGGTGTCTCGGCCTAGTAAAGCCCAAGAGAAAGAAGACCACACGGACATAAGGTATGACACACGATTGGCAATGCAAAGTCACACGTCCGTGTCTCTCAAAGCAAAACAAGTACATGGGCAAAAGAGATTTAACACGACTTGAAAGCAAAAGTCTACACGGACGGTAAGGAAGCAAAATGGAATGAAGAACATAGGCACACGATCGTGTGCTCTAGTTAACAAATCGTGTAACACTTGTTCTTCAAGGCTTCAAATTGTGTAACATTAAGCAAAAAATCATATAACTTATTTCATTAAACCCCGTGGTTAGGTGGAGTTGACACATATATTATATAACCTTAGTTTTAGGTATAAATAATAAAGCTAGGGCATTATTTCGGGATCCCCACCATTGAGTAGCGACCATTTATAGAAAAATCTCTTTTTAAAATCTATTATAAGCAACTAAACTTTATTCTTGGTTGAATCAAGTTGAAGCTTTTGGTTAATCGTTTTGAGATTACGGAGTTTTATTTTTAAATTTATCTTATTAGGGTATTTTATATTTTTTTGCATGATTGGTTAAATCGGACATTGTACACTTTTTTGAAAAGAATGCTTTGGGTGATTGATATCTTTCTAGAGGCACAACCAACTCATTACATTAGCATCTCTAGACTAGTATTTTTTTTTGTATTTTCTAGTTTCTTTAATATTAGGTGACAACTAAAAAACGTGGTTTAACTCACATCTCCATAAAATAAATAACAAACAAATTTTTATAGAATATTTTGAATTCTCCTAAATGTTAAGTAGCGACATTATCAATTTGGACTATGTGAACCTCAAGCTATTAATTACTTGGCAAATTTTATTATTTTCTCGATAGCTAAAGTGTTAACTCTTAATCAAAATGTTTAAAAGGATATTGTTTTACCCATTTCGATTTTTTTAAAATTAAAATTAATTTTGAAAAAAAATTTAAGAATTTATTTTTTTCTTTTTTAAAAAACTAGATCTATTTATTGCATATCATTAATTATCTAAAAATAAAAATTAGACCCATAAATAAAAAAATTCATCTAAGCTACCTTAAAATTAATTATTATTAAATATTTTTTCAAAATTAATTTTAATTCTTAAAAAAAATTAATAAATTAATTTTTTACTAAATGGATCAATTACACATCATTGATTATCTAACAACAAAAGTCATATTAATAAATAACAAAATCATCCAAGTTTCCTTAAAAGTATCTATTATTAAAAGAAAAAAATTGAAAATAATTTTTATTCTTAAAAAAAATGAAATGGTAAATGATTTGAATGTCAGAAATAATGAAAAATTATAAAATCTACTGAAAAACTAATAGTTGAAAAGCCAAATTGCCTAAATTAATAATATAGGCTTTATTTTACTATAACTTCAATAGTTTTAGATAAATTTTATCATTAAACTATATTATAGTTAATTACCAATGTTTTGACCGATGGAAATAAGAAAATAGAATTATTTATCCAAAAATTAATAATTTAAAATTTTAATAAGTTAAATTGATTATATAAATCTTAAATTATTATAATTTAATAGTTTGGGTGTAAGTTTTGCGATTAAACCATCTAGGTAGCTGCTGGCAAGATAGAAAAACCCTTGACTAAGGCGAACAGATGGTAGTTAAGAACAGCGAGTACGGAGGCAGATATGATAATCTAACAACTACTTATAAAAAAACTCACTTGTTTCTTTGCTGGACTTTCTTTCTTTCTCATTGGTTTCATCGACTGAGAAAGCTTTTTTTTTGTTCCTGTCATTTCTCTTCCTTCTTCTTCTGCCTCACCTTCTCCCATTCCTTTCCCGAAATCCAACACAACTCAACTCATTTGACGAGCTCCCCAAAACACACACGTCATAAGCTCTCTGTCTAGGCAAGGGGAAAGCCAAAAAACAAAATCAAGCAATGGCTTCTTCACTATCAGCAACACCTTCAGCTTCCATGGGGAGCAAAACCGCCGCCCATTTGCCTCGCTACAACACTTACAGATTACCCAACCTTTCGTTTCGGCTCTCTCCCAAACCGAAGTTCCGATTTTTCCCTAAGGTAAAATAAATCCTCTCTCAATTCTTTTTCTTCTTTTCCTCTTTTCCTACTATTTTTGCAACTTGCGCTTCTGGATCAGCCTCACGTACTATTGAAATGTGGGGAGATGAAATAGTTTGTATTCTTAGATGAATTGTTTTGATGCCCAGTTAATTTGAGTGACTTTTTTTTTTTTTTTTAGTTTTGAATTTGATTCTATATTTTGAATTATGATTTTATTGCTTTTTCTAATTCTTGTTTTATGTTTCATTTATAGCCCACTGATGAATGGATTGTTATTTTCAAGATTCTGAGAGTTTTGCACCTTATCTTACTATCTTTCATCGTCCATATCACATAGGTCAGTGGTGCACTTGCTGTAGGTTGATCTTGTTCAGTTATCAGTTCCTATAGAATAGAACAATAGGTTTTTTACGCATGAATTCTAATTCAAACAAATAGAGAGCTTGACAACTCCATTCTTGCTATCTCGGGGTCAAAATGAATCATTTATCCCTTCATTTACCTTCTTTCTCCGGTATAATAAGCTTTAAATATAACAAAGAGTGAACTTACTAAACATTCTGTGGTTACATCTTGCCCTTTTTGTTCTTTTGGTTCTAGTAGTAAGGGTATCCTCGGACCACCTTTGCACATTGAAATTACGTCCCTCCTTCATCGGGTCTTAAGTAGGTCATCCACACTCAGACTCGCTCATTCGTGAGAAATCATTTTCTTGCAGTCTCCCTTAAGATTCAAACTCCAGATGATAACGTGGGGAGCCAGCCGTAGGTCAATTGCACATTGTTTACTTAAATTAAAGGATAGGTTCATATCACTATCCACATTTTTTTCACTATCACGAGAGCTGATACATTATAGGTAAATATGGATAACTTGTGTCAAACATCTGCCTTTTGTTTTTTCCATATCCATATTAAATAAAATAAAAAGATATACCATTTTCTTTTTGAGAATTGCATTGGATTAAAGTTGTTTTCCTATAAATGTAAACTAATTTAAAACCACACATGGTTTAGGAAATTTACAGATATTTTGCTCTTTTCTTGAGGTAATATTTCATCTATGCTCTGTTTTTGTTTCTTATCTTGATTTCCTATTCAAGAGAAAGAATATCCCTTTGATGTTAAGCAAGGTTTGGAAATTGTTTCTAGGCTTCCACCTATATTCTGTAATGGCACGAATACATTAGTATTTGGTACTTTGATGTTTTTGTTTTGGATAATTTGGGGCAGGTGAGACTCACATTTATAACCCCCCAATTTGATGGGAAATCAAGATAATTGTTTCATAGTTTTCAGCTTGCCAACTAAAACATTGCATTACATTAGTACCCTTTAGTTATATTTCATCGGCCATTGGAATCACCTCATGCTAGAATTATCTATTGCAGGTGTTTTATATGCCTTAGATTGTTCAAAATACAAAATGATGCAATAATAGCTTGGCCAGTTTGGAATTTTGATTCAGATAATGGTTTCAGTGCTTTCACTTTTGGCTAGAAAAACTTGAGAGAGCACTGATATAATTTACAAACTCACAAACTGTGGCTGGAGTAACTTTCAAGTGAACTTGGATAATGACTAGATAGTTACTACAAGCTTAATAGATGGGAAGTGTCAACACCAGCTCCCCCTCCTCGCACACAAGCAAACAAATTCCGAGTCCTATGTTTTGTTCAGTATATGTTGTGTTTGGTCTCTTGGACTTCAGTAGTGATTTATGAACAAGGCTACAATCCTGGTAGAAATCTTGACTCCTTGAACAACCCCTCTCCCCCTCCTATTTCTTGGTGTGACTTCTAATTTTATGTTGAGTTCACATGCCCTTATGCTGAAATTTGAAACCACTTGCATTTAGAAATATAGTATTGAGAGACCGAAACTTGTTTCCACAACATTGTAGGGTTTGCAGCCTAGTCGTAACTGTCCTGTTTTGGTGAAAGCTCAATTGAACAAGATAAGATTCTTTCAATTGTTTTCATTAGAAGATCTGTTTTCAAAATTTTGTTCCTTACTGTGCATGCTTTTGGGGTCATCTATTGCCTTCAAGGTTGCTGCGGATGGATTCTCAAATGCTGCAGCCTCAACTTCTGCCAAATCTGAAGTACCATTACAGGAAGCAAAGGACACTAATCCATCAAATGATCCTTCATCTCCCTCTTTGGCTACAGAGGAGTCCATCTCTGAATTTATCACCGAAGTTTTGAGTCTTGTGAAGTGAGTGACCTCAACATTATCATTATGTGTATAATGCTTGTTTCGGTATATGATAACAAATATGTTTTTATCTTTAATTCAGGCTAGTTGATTCACAAGATATTGTGGAATTGCAGTTGAAACAACTCGATTGCGAACTTTTAATCAGAAAAAGGAGGCTTTGCCTCAGCCACCATCCCCTGCTCCACCTACACCAGCAATGCCAGCTGCCACACTGGCAGCTTCGAGTCCTGCTCCTTCTGCCCCAGTCCCGTCACCATCGCCTCCTGCTTCCAAACCAGCCAAGTCATCCCATCCAGCACTTAAATGCCCTATGGCTGGCACATTTTACAGAAGTCCTGGACCTGGTGAACCGCCATTTGTGAAGGTAAAATATCAGTACTTATCAGTTGTCTTTTCTTTGAATAATGCTTCCTTATTAATTGTATGTCATCTTTGCTGGTGCTTTTTGGTTGTTGATTGCTTTTAATGCAGGTTGGAGACAAAGTGCAGAAGGGGCAGGTTGTATGCATCATTGAAGCCATGAAATTGATGAATGAAATAGAAGTAAGTTTTGTTTTTATTCTGCATTTAGTGTTTATGGGAGATTACTTGTATTAGTTCTATTCTTCATATCCTGGCTTTCTCTGTACTGATGTAGAATGGCTACAAGGAATTGAGGGGAAATGATAGAGAACCTAGAATCTAATAGGCCAAAATTTTCAAATCTACAAAGAGCTTTTTGAATCCCTTGAAATTAACATGAAGATTCCGAAACATGAATTTTCATTCATCAACCGTGTAATGCATAAAATAAGGTGGCTGTAGGCATACCAAATCATAACCATTCCTACCAGATTAAGAACTAAAATTCAAAATTAAAATTCTAATGATAACTTAAGGAAAAAACTAAGGAGAGAATGTTTGTGTAAGAATGTGTGCCCGAGCTGTGGATGATTTTGAAACTCACCCGTAAGTGATGTCAATTCTTAGTTTGATTTCCACATCGAGTGGTTTGGAAGCATGTTTGTATGTAAGAACGAGTGCACATCAGCCGAATCCTTAAAAATGGAAATGAAACCACCTGATTACTGATAAAATTACAAGTAATTTGGACTTGCTCTTGTTGCACATCATACGCCTTGGATAAACCGGGAAATGTGATGATAACTGTTCGAAAGCATACTGATATTCACTCTGGGATATATTTGGATAGGTGATTATGCATATATGGCTTCCATGAGATTGAAGTGTCTGTTTAGTGTTAATATACGAGTCTCAAATCTCAGAGGCTGTCATCAGTGTGGTTTCTGTGCCTCTATTTTCTTCTGTTGTATACATTTAGCTGTCTGGAATATGCTTCTATATTTGAACTTGAGATTAATTAGTCCTTGCTATTTCTCATTTGATCAATGGACATTTTAGATGGATATTGAATATTTTAGACCCTATCAAAATGAGGGCTTTGATTTTCAAAGTTTAGGAGAGATTTGTGCGGAGATTTAAGCTAAAAATTGATGGTGGCTTAAAGTGCCTAGCATAGTTTGAGGTTCATGATGGAGAAATTTTAATAATTCACCAGATTCTAGCGTTAGATCACCCTTGTGCATCAGAATTTGCTTGATTGAAAAAAAAAAAAAAGTCTGCCATATTCCTGAACCATGGCGAAGATTAGTTTTTGGATTGCAGTAGAATCAACTTTCATAATTTGCATTATAACAGGGAGTACAACCTGTGTTGTTTTGCATCTGCAAATAACAAAAGTTATTCTCTGTTCCAATAATATGAATTATGATTAAAAAATAATAATAATAAAAAACCTGAGAAATTAATTAAAAAACATTAAAATGTTGTGTATCTTATTTTGTTTTGTATGATGAATATTAGAAGATAAATGTGACTTTTGAGTTGAATCGTTTTACTTTTCATCTGTAAACTATTTTGCAATATCTATAACATCTGCATGATAAGATAAATGAATTCACAAAGAAGAGAGGCTTTACCAGTTCTGGTCCCATCAAGTTAGACAGTTCAACTGTTTAACATTTTTTTGCATGTGGTAGCTACTTTCAAACTTTGGATCCATTAGCTTGAGCTTACACATCCAAAACTTCACAATGGCACACATAATGGTCTTGCAGGAATTTTCAAATAGAAACGCTAGATTTATTCCACCTTATCATGCTTTCAACTTGCTAAGAAAGTTGACAGAACTAAACCCCATATCAGACTTACATTTTCTGGAAAATCTATTTCTAATGCTAGCTAACTTATTATACCAACCTTTTGCAAACTTCAGCTTCCTCCCTGCCTTCTTCTCTGAGCATCATGATATATTCTAGTTATAAGTGATTGGAAAGCCATTTTCGTTATTTCGGTTTTTTCTTTCTTACATCTCTAACTAATTGTGCATTGTAATCTGCTCTTCAGGCAGATCAAACGGGAACCATAGTCGAGATCCTTGCTGAAGATGGCAAGTCAGTTAGTGTTGATACAGTAAGTTTTCTTGGACGAACTCTTTTACAACAGCAACCAACAAAAGTGGTAATGTGGATTTCATTCATTACATTTTAGTTTATGCCTTCTTTTAATGTCCCTTGCAGCCTCTATTGGTGATTGAGCCATAAAGTTCAACTGTTGAGTAGGCAACTAAGAGAAACGAAGTACAACTTAGAAAGTGAGTGCAGTTCTTGGTAATTTGAGATGCGGCATTGTTATTTTGTGTTGATGTTTTGTTTGGAATGAGCAATTAGGTAGAAGAAAATTACTGATTCTTATTTGAATTATTTAGAACCGAATCTTAATTGCTGCAACCGAGAATAATTTTATTGTTCCATATTTGGATACTATATACTAGTGTGATAGGGTGAGATTGGAATGGATCCAATCACCTACTGATTCATTGGGATCGTCTTTTTCTTGAACAACAAGGAAGGAGAGAGGAGGAGAGAAAAAAGAGAAAGGAACAGAATTTGCTATGGATTTATCATATCCTTTCAATATATGATTCTGTCACAATTATAGACCCGTACTAATTCTAAGATACGATCGCATAGCAATACAAATATTATCTCTTAAGAACATAAATAACTACCAAGGCAACTACCAAGTCTCCTAGGCCTACAAAGTTGCACTACTAAATGAAACCTAATTTCTGTCTTTAAGTACTCAAGCCCAAGATAATGGCTGTAATTTTCTCTCCCCAAACCTATTTCTGCAATTCGCTTTAACGATTAGAACGTATCAATGCCTGCCCCTCTAAAGCACCCTTGTCCTCGACGGTGATGGAAAACGCTTGGTAAACTTCTCAGCAAACTCCCAAGCAGCGTCCGCAGCAGGGAGATCACGCGAGTATATTAACCATCCAATCTCAGCTTTTTTTTTTTTTTAATTATTTTTATTATTATGATGATGTATCCATCAATGATGGCTAGTGGGTTGGGTGGAAAATTGGAGTGCATAACAGGAAGTTCTTTTTGAACCGTGCGCGACCCAATGGATTTTTTTAAGGAGGGAGACATGGAATACAAGATGAATTGTGACTGAGGCACGTGGTTTTAAATGGTAAACTACTGACTTGACTCTATCTTCCATCGAAAAAGGGCCATAATAGCGAACAAAGAGCTTATGAACACTTCGTTTTGCGCGAGTGTTGTTTGTAAGGATGTATTTTCAGATAAATCCAATCACTAATTTCAAATTGACGGTTTATTTTGTGCATGTTTGCAATTTGTGTTATGCGATTCTGTGCATGATGAAGATTATATTTCAAGTGTGTGAGCATAAGTGTCCACACCTTCTAAGGGAGAGTCCTTCAGAAAATAGGATAGATGAATCGGAGGTGGAAGGCCATATGGTACTTCAAATGGTGTTAGTTCAGTAGTTGAATGAGAATTGGTGTTATATCACCATTCGGCTAAGGAAAGCCATTTGGACCGTTCTGAAAGAGTATCTTCTGTCATGCATCAAAGATGGATCTCAAGACATCGATTTGCCACCTCGGTTTGAAGATTAGACATGAAGATGATAGGCACTAGAGTTGTGTGGATCAACAACTTGGAGGAAAAATAGCTCTTTTAAGAATTTATTGAGGAACACAACATTTTTATCACTCACAAAAGTGGTTGGTAACTCGTGCAACTTAAAAAAATATTGTCAGGGAATAGTGGAGTGCGTAAAGGTAAGGAAGACTCGTAAAGTGGGCGTATCTGCTGAGGCAGGTCAACCACTACAAAAATTACTTCATTTACCTAGGACTTTGAAAGCCCTTCATTGGCGTCCCTGTACTGCCTGTGGAAATAAGTAGTTGTAACAGGTTAGAAGTGGCCACTAGTTCAAGTTTTTATGCTTGTCAAATTGGACATTCCTTGACGCACTGTCTCGCATTTCTTTATTGACTCTTCCAATAGAAGGCACCTCCTAGTTTCTTGTATGTTACTGCCATTGCACAGCGATCCTTTAGAGTAGCATCATGAAATAGCCTTATCATGTGTCCGTAATTAATTATCATTGCCAATAGCTATACATTGGATGAGTTGTAAGGTCTCGCTTGAGGTCCGACGTGAGTTTTGAATGGTTAGGTCTAAGCCTCAAGAATCCTTCACCTTCAGAAGAAAGCCTAGAAATAGCCATAGAGAGGACCTTAGAACTAGGTAGTCTCGATAAGGCATCATCAGCCACGTTTTTCCTGCTCCTTTTTTCTTTAATAAAATTTTAATCAAAATTCAAAAGTTTGGCTAGCCATCTGGGCTGGGTAGATGTATAGAGTTTATGTTCCATGAAACATAATGTCTAAACACTGTCTCCACCATATATTTAACAGCATGTAATGTGAGGGACTGAGAGTGTCTGATGTTTAAGTGAAATTATAATAGACTAGTTTAAAATACTATAAAATTATAAATATTACTTAAAAATTTAACTAAAATTCTCTTTATGGTTTAAAATTTTTTTTATAAATATTTTATTTTATACTTAAAATTTGTTTATTATAGTACATATAAATTTAAACATGTTAATCTTTGTTTTTTTTTTCAGTTTTTTTTTTAATTTTTCAATTTTTTTTATTTAAATTCAGTAAAAAAATTAAGACAAAAAAAAATAGAGCAGATACACGAGATTAAGACAAAAAAAAAAAAAAAAGGAGTTAACATTATTAGTTGAAAAGTTAATGGAAAGACAAGATTAAAATAAAAACTAAACTAAAAGAGATGAATTTAAAACTAAAAAAAATGCAAGATAAAAAGAAAAATATCTATGCAACCACTAAATATTGCAAAAGTGATAAAAAAAAAAAAAAACCCGAAGGTCTCAATATCACTTAACATTATAAGTTAGAACATTTGATATAGGTAAACTATGATTTGACGGAAGAGTATTGTGATGATTATCACCACCTTAACCTCACCGTCCAGATTGACTACTTGGTGAAAAGATATCCATTTGCATTGCATTATCAAGTAGGAACCAGCATGTTCCCTCATTTGTGAAAATCATTGCAGCGTTTTTCCAGTTAATTGTTGCCATTGTGACTTTGAACTTTTTTTTCTTTTATTGCTACATCATAACTATTTTTAAAATAAATTTAATGCATTGAGACAAATTAAGTCCATCATTTCAATCATATAAAAAACAAGCTATCTGTGTTTGCATACAGGAATTCATGGATTTTTTTTCCTTATAGCATAATTTGAGGGTTGAATCTTGATAATCAAGAAGGAAACATGCTCATTCATCAAGCCAACACTTTTTGATTTGTCGAATTATCATTACTTTTCTTTCAAGGAAATAGAAAAGTTAGAAGGCTATTCCATTGCACGTATTTTGAAGCTAAAATTTAAGATTTTTATGAAGATAAATTATGTACATAGGAATAATAGGTGCGATTTAAACTTTCAATCTCATGAACGAGCGTTCTACAAAATACTTATTTACTATTACACCAACACTTTTGTTAATAGATGAATAACTATTAGATGTGTAAAATTATCTTTTAGATTTTCCTTTGCATTTTGTTAAATTGATGTTACGTAGGAAAAGTAAACCAAAAAAATAGCATGATTGTATGTAATAGATTTTCTTATTTATAATTTTAAAATAATGAATCTTGATTAACTTTAGGTATCCGATAATATTTTTTTTAAGATCATATTCTTAAAAAAAAACGATATATATATATATATTTTAGGTTTTCATTTCACATTTCATTAAATAGACATATTGAATAGAAAAAAGAAAAAGCAATATGTAACTATATCTTCTTTTTTTAAAAAAATGAAAATATCTTTCATTAATAAGGAGGATCAGAGTAGAAGTCTAGAAACAATTTTATTTCCACATTATGCTTAAAATGAAAACAAAGCTGGGAATTGAGTATTGTTGTGTACGGGTAGGCTAGACATAAGCAACTAGGTAAATTAGTTCTCTAATTAGGTCTGCTCATCTTTTTAATGATTTGGACTTTCAATCAAACTCCATGAAAGTCCCTACTTCGAGTCGTCTATATTGAAACTTGAAACATCGTCGGTCCCTGTCAAATAGCTTGTAGTTTAGTGATAATAATCTCTTATAACAAAAATTCATGATTCAAATCCTACTAAATTAATTCTATTAAGATTCTTTAAGTGTGATTTAAAAACAATATCTACAAAAAATAAAAAAAGTCCCAAATGAGTTTAATTGATCTTTTATTAATAAAAAATAAGTTGCATCACCATACTCTATTTATAAAAGATCCAACATGTTTGTTTGGCCGACGATTAAAAAAAAATTATAGAACTAGATCCATTATGATCAAGATCCCATTTAGTCAATATAAAATGAAAAAAAAAGACTTGAAATTGAATATCCAGATTTAAGACAAAGAAAAAGAAGAAGAAGAAGAAGAAGAAGAGAAGGAGAGAGAAAAAAATGAAAAGAAACAAAAAAAGGAAGCAAGGAAGATTTGAAATTGATTATAGGGTTTTCTTTTATGATTAAAATAGTCAAATGACATAAAATCAAGATCAATGATATGTAAGTTGTAACTATATCTTAGATATGCTAGCTCTTAAGGGACCGGCTTAGGTGGTAAGGAGAAAACTAAGACAGGTGTTTGGAACAAATGAAGGGTGGAATTCATTTCATTTATAAATGAAATGAACGAGAATTTATATTTGCAAATGAATTTTCTTGTTTGGAACAAAAAAAATAAAAAAAATTATTAGCCAAATCATTCATTTGTAAATACATTTTATGTTTAGAACATATGTAAAATTAGAATTGTAGTTTGTATTTTACTTAAATACCCTATAGTTGGTTGAAAGGTAATTGTGATATAATACGAAGACAAAAGAAATATTTCAACAAATAATACAAGAATCTCATGCCCATATAAGTCGAATATATCCCTTACATAAATATAATATCACAATGGATGTCTATATCATATTACACATCCAAAAATTATACCATTATATTGGCATAAATATTTTGCAGCTTATGCAAGCAAAATATTTCAAAATATAACAAACATCCAACATTAGGGATTCAAGTTTAATCATTCATACTACTAATTATAACAAACGACCCATCATACTTTAAATCCATACTGATGCTAATTATAACAAACGATCCTCACTTTAATCAT